GCCGCACCCCAAGAGGATGCCAGACCCCCACACAACCACCCCGGTGCACTTCACCCCACAGTAGCAGGAAGGCTGGGGAAGGAAAGGGAAGCCTTCCTGCCTCTTCTGGTCAGTTTGGAGGAACACCCGAGGGAGTGAAACTGACCAGAAAAGGCAGGGCGGCTTCCCTTTTCTTCTCCCGCCTCCCCACCCCTGGGGAAGGAAAGAGAGAGAAGGCATGTTTTCTCTCTCTCTCCTTTGCTACCCCACTTAATCTAATTAGGTTCCCTGCTCACAGCCTCACCAGCCAAAAATTTCTGACCAAGAGACTGGTGTGATTTGCTCCCAGCCTCCAGCATTATGGGGAGGAAACCACAGGCACAGCCTGTACCCATCCATTACCTCCCAAACCTGCACCACCAGCAGCCAGGATCAAGCCACGCCCCTTCACAGCTAGAAGCATTTCTGGGATTCGGCTTGTTCTCAGTTAGCTGAGGAATTTATAGGTATAATGTGCACCCATAATCATCTCCTGGACCACTGTTGGATTCGAGTCCAGGAGCACCTTAGAGAGCAAAAAGATTTTGCGGAGCACAAGCTTCCTTGTGCTAGCACCATGTGGTCTGGCCCAAATTCCTGTAGTGCCATAGTTCTGCTGCGATTCACCTTGCTCCCTTGGGGGACGGGAAGGAGGAGGAGGAGGATATTGGATTTATACCCCACCCTTCACTACCCGAAGGAGTCTCAGAGCTGCTTACAATCCCTTTCCCTTCCCCTCCCCACAACAAACACCCTGGGGCTGAGAGAGCTCTTTCAAGAACTGACCTTGAGAGAACAGCTCTGAAAGAACTTATGAGTGACCCAAGGTCACACCAGCAGCTGCATGTGGAGGAGTGGGGAATCAAACCCGGTTCTCCCAGATTAGAGTCCATGCTCCTAACCACTATACCAAATTGTAGCCTACATTCTTAGAGAGACATAATACCTTGAATGTGTTCAGGGGAAGAGGTGGCATGAGTCAGCAGCAGTGCTAACTCTGAAGGAGAGAGGTTTCGTTTTTGCATCCATTCCCGACAAGCGTGGTTCTCAGGTAATATAACCCCCTCCCCTCCTGTGTCTGCTCTACAGCTGCTTTGAATCATCGAGGGTGAAAAGCTACAATCATTTGCCCCGCTCTCTTATTTATTCTGTCTGCTGCCGAGAGTTTTTCATTATCTGCTCGTTTTGCTTTTGTTTTATCACCCTGGCGAAATAAGCTAGTGTTGATCTATGGTGTAGAGCGAGCACAAAGTTATTGAAGTCGCTGAATTTTGAGTGCACGGTTATGATCCCTCCCGTCTGCGAATGCTAGTCATGAAGCCGCTGAACTCTGTAATTCAACCCCTCCCTGCAGCTGAATTCATGAGTCTAAATATTGCCGGGAGCCACAAAATTAATCTCCAGCTTGTTGTTTTGCTGGATAATTAGATCATCTTCATTCGCCGAGTCTTCCCTCCTCTGTATATATGGAAACCCCTCTCCAGAACACATTACCTTTTCTCCGGTGACACAGCACATTAATCCCAACGAGAGCCACAACTTCTTATACATATTTTATAGCAAACAAACGAACTCGTAAAAATTTTATGGACTGTGCACTGTGAAAAGTCATTGTGTTATAATTTAAAGGTGCCGCTGACCTGCGCATTCCACCTGGATGTGATAACGCTGCGTGATTTGTCCAGCCTCACAATGACAGCGCTTGTTCGTTGTGAAATTGTTTGCCCTTTTCTTGATTCTGGGGCGGAAATTGCACATTCTTTACCTTAAATGTTAAAAATATAATGCCAGGCAAGCTTTTTATTCCCTGCCACATAATACGGGAGCGAAGGCAGCATGGTCACATTTCAGAAGCTGAGGAGGGTCAGTACTTGGAAGGGAGACCACCAAATAAGACTCTGCAGGGGAAAGCAATGGCCAGTTCACCTCGGCTTCTCGCTGGCCTAGAAAGTCCCTTGCTGGGGTTGCCATAAGTCAGTGGTGACTTGTTGACACGTACATTTGTACCACATAATATGGAATTCAGGCTAAGGTCTAAAGGAAAGGATACGAAAATACCCTCCCTTACAATTACAGCTAATGTGAAAAGACAGAGAGAAGTGTAGCCACCTGGCCACAAGCGGTGGCCCAAAGTTTGATGAGCATCCCTCCCCTCTCTGGTTAGAGTGATGACCCCTTTCTGCCAGATTTAGAGCTGGCTGTTGGACCCCATAATCACACCCTGCTTTAGAGGCCTCCGCATTCAAGTTGAGCACAGCATAAAACTTTCTCTGCTAAATGCCTGCTCCCCCCCCCCCACACCACCGAAGTAGCAGTAATGTGATGCATGAGTCGGTTTACATCTTTAATGTGCAGAAGCGTATCTTCACTGAGGTTATAGAGGAGTCATAAGCAAAACCGTCCCCTGGTGGGCAGGCAGACCCACCGGCACGTATATTGTTCATTGCAATTCCATGTGTAGCATCAGCTGATTTGCAGAGAATGGCCCCAGTGTGCCACCAGACCTGTTCAGATCAATGAGAAGCGTGACCTGGAAGCTCTTATGAAGTTCACTTAATACCACGTGACCTGATGTGGCCTGTTGTTACAGAGGTGCTCCTTGTTGATCTGCTTACCAGCATTAGGCTCTGCTTTGGCTAGAGTTTGATTGTGGTACATGGACTGAATCCTGCCTAAGGTCAACCACATTCTGGACTGTGAGTTTGAATCTTGGCATGTTGTGGGTTACTAGTAGGGTCCCCAACACCACCTAGGCAAATGCCAGGAGATCGGGGAGGGGGGGCCTGAGGAAGGTGAGGATTGGGGAGGATGAGATGTCACTTTGGGGCAACACTCAAGGAATTCCCCGTAATCTATAGTAAAGACCATGGAGACTATGGAATAGGGCTGCCAAGTCCCCCCGGGGGGTCGTGGCCCCGCCCCCAGCGTGCCCGGCGTCATGACGTCACTTCCCTGTGACGTGCATGCGGCGCGTGCGCGCACCCACCGGGATCCGCACGGGAGTCCCCCGCCGGCAAGGTAAGTGCCACTTGGCAACCCTACTATGGAAAATTCCCAGACTGTCACTATGGAGGGCATTTTCTTCTCCCACTCTTTAGTTTCTTGAGTGTGGGAGTTTATGGCAAGGTCAGGGAATTGCCCTCTGGGCCCAGAATTAAAAAGCCTAATTACTAGCTCGGTTCACTTCAGACACTGAAGAATTTCCATCAGTTGGTTAAAAACTGGTGGCAGCTTACCTGAATGAGTATCTGTACTTTCAGCAAAGATGCTGGTGAAGTTCTCTGTAATTGATTCCTTCCCTGAAAATGTCCTTCTGCTATCCTAAGTAGTTCCCACTGTTCATTCGTTAAGATCCTTTGTCTTCCCTGATGAAGGTTTTGAGCCTTTGGGGATAGAGCCGCATAGTTCCAGAGTCTTCCCCATTGCTTGGCAAGGATTAAATATTAAACAGCAGGAGTCCCAAGAACCAAGAGCGGCTTTTATGCATATGATTTTACAACTTCACACGTTAAACCAGCAGGGGAGATAATGAATGTCAAAGTCTGGTATTTCCTGTTGTTGCTTTGTTGGTGGTGCTGTTTAGTTAGTTAGTTTTTAAAATACTCATAAGTGCTGTAGAAAGAGTAGAATTTATTTATTTTGAAACCTTATATGCCGCCTCTTCAGGGTGGCTGACAAAGTAAACAATACAATAAAACCCTAAACACCATAACATAATTGTTATCAATATTAAAGCAAACCAAGGATGTAAAAACAGCTTAAAATAACATTCGGGCACCTAAAACAATATCTTGTAAAACAGTTCTCTGGTAAGAAGAATGAATGTTCCCTCTAAACTGAGTTAGTGTGAGCTAGTTCACCATTTTTTAACCTCCAGCTCACACATTTTTGTCTTAGCTCAGGCAGGATGACTCCAGAGCAGTGCTCCCTCTAAACTGAGTTAGTGTGAGCTAGCTTACCATTTTTTAACCTCCAGCTCACACATTTTTGTCTTAGCTCAGGCAGGATGGCTCCAGAGCAGTGCTCCCTCTAAGCTGTGGAGTCTTGTGAGCAAAAATTCTACTTTGTGAGCTGCCGGCATTAAAGTTGTGGGTGAGCGATTTGCCTACTGCATAAACTAGCTTGCTCTGGAGCCATCCTTCCTGGGCTAAGACAAAAATGGGTGAGAGGGAAGCTAAAAAACTGTGAGCTAGCTCACACTAACTCAGCTTAGAGGGAACACTGCTCCAGAGCAAACTCATTTACGCAGTAGCCAAATTGCTCGCTCACAGTTTTAATGCCGGTCGCTCACAAAGCAGAATTTTTGCTCACAAGACTCCACAGCTTAGTGGGAGCATATTGGTTTAGAGTCTCATTAACATGACCACAATAAGTTTTATTTAGATATTTATGGCCCACTTTTCTCCCTCCATGGGACCCCCCAAAACCATTTAATCTTTCCCCCTCCTCCATTTTATCCTCACAACAACAACTCTGTGAGGTAGGTTAGGCTGAGAGAGAGCCATTGGCCCAGGATCACCCAGTGAGCCTCTATGGCAGAGCGGGGATTTGAATCTGGGTCCCCCAGATCTTAGTGCGGTGCTCTGACCACTACGCCACACCAGAAGGAAGACAGAGAGAAGCAACAGGGAGGGAAGATGTAAGTTAATAAATGAGCTGCTATTATATGATGCTGCATTGGGAGTTCTGTAATGAACACCTGGAATAGTGCTGTGGGAGAGTTCTGAGATGGGAGGGGCCAAGTCTTGTTTCACCTGTCCCTCAGGTGTGCCCAGGTGGGGGGGTATCTTTTTCTGCACATACCTAGAGAAGCCCTCTAGTGGCTGTCCTGGGTATTGGCTCTTTCCCACGGAACCAATCCTCCTTCCTACTGCGGTCCCTGCGAAAGACAAAACTTGCAACACTATTGTCTCTTCAATTGACTGTGTGTCTGCACCAGCAGTGCTTCAATAACCTTTGCGTGTGTGTCTGTGTGTGTTCAGAGACTACTATATTACCATGGTGAAATGGGCGACCAGTACCAAAGTGGCAGTGAACTGGCTAAACCGGGCACAGAACGTTTCCATCCTGACCCTCTGCGACGCAACCACCGGTGTCTGCACAAAGGTATGCCGCACATCTAAACACCGATCCCTCGCCTTCTGGCATGTGCAGTTCTGCTCCCAGATTTTTTGGGGGGAGGGGCAATTAATCTGAACATGATACATACAAAGAAAATTTGTTGCATGATCCATAAAGGTGCTTGATCCAAAATTAAGCATTTATTTATTTATGGCCTGCCTTTCTCATTTGGATGCAAGGTGGTTTACACAGAGTGAGTTAACAGCATTGGCAGGATGGGGTATTCAGTAAACAGCACAAAAGGATTAGGGTTGTGGAACCAACCCGAAGTCTAAGGTTGCCATTCCCCCAGTGGGGCCAGGGGATCCCCCAATTTTGGGGGCCCAATTCACCACAGCCCAGCTGGCTGGTGGGGGAAGCCCCACCCTGAGAAGCCCCCACCTCCCGGCGCTGGTGCAATGATGTCTCCCGGAAGTGACATCATCACATTTCCAGTGCCAGGGACAACACTCTAGGTTTTGGGCAATACTCTATGGTTTTGAGGCCCAAAAAGAAGAGAAGAAGAGATTAGATTTATACCCTGCCCTTCACTACCCGAAGGAATCTCAGAGCGGCTTACAATCCCTTTCCCTTCCCCTCCCCACAACAGACACCCTGTGAGGTAGGCGGGGCTGAGAGAGCTCTCTCGAGGACTGCCCTTGAGAGAGCAGCTCTGAAAGAACTTATGAGTGACCCAAGGTCACACCAGCAGCTGCATGTGGGGGAGTGGGGAATCAAACCTGGTTCTCCCAGATTAAAGTCCGCACCCCTAACCAACTGGCTGTCATAGACCATAGAATTTTGCCCAGAACCTAGAGCATTGCCCCTAACATCGAAAATGTCATGATGTCACTTCTGGGTGATGTCATTGTGGCACCAGAAAAGATCCAGGAAGAATTGGGGGTCCTCCCACCGGCAGCCAGGTAGGACTTGGCAACCCTACAGAAATCTATAAAACAGAACTGAAGCAAAGCATAAGCCTTAGCATGACACGTTAAATGATGCAAAAACGACATTGTAGGATCCTCGTTTCAGTAAGCTGAACACAGTAGTATAGACCAGAGTCCCTAAAATTTGATCTAAGTAATTTTTCTGTGGCCTCGTCCTGAACACGTTTCCTGGTGAGCAAGTCCCATGGGGTTCTTTGGGGCTGACTCTCCCAAGAAGCACACGTAGGACTCCATTTAGCCTTTACTCACAGGGTCGCCTAACTCACTCGTGTGAAATCAAGGGATCTTGTGAAGTGCCTTAATAACGTGGTACCCGAGATTTCCACCCCGTACGTTCCATCCCAGGAGTGCCTTGTGAGATTTTCAAGCAGCATCTCTTCGTCTGGAGCAAGTTGCTTTGTGAGCTGTTAGGCCGATACGAGCGGGATGTCAATGTTAAAAAGAAAGAAGTTGTGTCATCTGCGTGGGGAAAGGCAAAGGGGCCTGCTCCTTCCCTGCTGAGCAAGACAAAGGCCCAGGGAACTGGGGCAACGGTAACGTTCACTGAACTGAAATGGCCTCTTTTGGCACATCGCATGGATAATGGCTGTGCTGTCAGCTCACTCACTTGTTTACCTCAGAGCAAAATCAAGAGGACGGAGTACCTGCCTTTCAGTTGCCTTCCCAGAAAGCACACTCAGACAGGCTCTTCTGTGCTTGCTCATCCACTGGTGAAATCGAGTCAGACAACTTTCTGCCCTGATGGGCAGAGTATAACAGATGTAAAGTACTGTATAACATTTAATTATATTGCCTCGTTACAGAAACATGAAGATGAGAGTGAAGCCTGGCTACACAGACAGGTAACTGTGGTCTTTTCCATTGTGATCTTTCTCCTCGCTTTAATACAAGAGTTTAGAGTTTGTGTTTTCCTTCCTTCCTTCGTTCCTTCCTTCCTTCCTTCCTTCCTTCCTAGCTGTCTACCTAATCTTTCTTCCAAGTAGCTCAGGGCAGCTTACCTGAGTCTTTCCTTTCCCCATGTTATCTTCTCTCTCTTTTTCTATTTTTTAAATTTTTTATTGTTGACTAGCAAAAACAAGTGACACATGAATCAACATATAGAACAGTTGCATATGACAACAACAGTAACAGAAACAGCAAAAATGCAAAGAGATAAAATGAATAGAACACAAAGAATAACCAGTAACTTTAAACATATCAATAAACCATTAATATTGTATCTAAGATCGAATCATATTCAGCTTTAGCAGATAAGTATACCCGGAAGGGAAACCAGCTTGACGTTTGAACCAGAAGGGTCTGCAGTTTTAGAAGGTGGAGTATCAGAGACTTTGTCCGTGGTACAAAATTCACACAATTTATTTATCCAGCCAGAAATGCTAAGGTGTGTGCTGTGCTTCCAGGATTTGGCTGTAACAAATCTGGCTGCCGCACATAATAATGCAATTAGGCCACTGTGCAGTGGGAGGGGAGATCTGAGTCGCCAAGCATCCAGTAGCAATGATTCTGGGTTAAAAGGTGTGCTAAAGGCTGTAATATGTATTCCCAATAACCCTATCAGGTAGAGTAGGCTGAAAAGGTGTGACTGGCCACAGTCACTCAGTGAGCTTTGTGGCCATGTGGGGATTTGAACCCAGCCAGATACTGAAGCTGAAGCTCAAATACTTTGGCCACCCAATGAGAAGGGAGAAGGGAGCACTCACTGGAGAAGACCCTGATGCTGGGAAAGATTGAAGGTCAAAGAAGACGGGGACGGCAAAGGATGAGATGGTTAGACAGTGTCATAGATGCAACAAACATGAAATTGAGTGAACTTCAGAGGACAGCAGAAGACAGGAGGGCCTGGCGTGACCTGGTCCATGGGGTCGCGAAGAGTGGGACTCAACTGTGCAACTGGACAACAGCAACAACTCTCTAATCCTACACTCTAACCATTACTCAACACTGGAAGTGTTTACTGCTCAGAACAAAACACTGTTGAAGATGCAAATCAAGAGACGTAAAATGACCTCTGAGTGCTCATTGAGAGTGACCGGAGAAACAGCCTCTTTGATCCATTGTTGACGAATCTGCTTTCTCTCAGCAAAGTCTCTCGTCCGTAGCCACTGGTGGGAGGATGACAAAGGCTGAAGGACTGAGGCTTTGGCAAGCCCGCGAGGGAAGCCAGATTGTTCCGTGTGCTCATGGTGAGCCCCCCTCCCCACGAGGGATCCTTGAATGTTGTTCTGGATTCTGCTCATAACAAAGCCAATCGCATAGCATTCCAGTTGTTGAGCTGATGCATTCTCCATATTCTCCACCACTGTATGGCTTTCTAGAGCTAGTGATGTCACCGTACTTTCCCAGGATATCAATATATCGATACAATGGATCTGTACAATCTGAAACCAGAATATTATATCAGTGCAACGGTGGCTATTTGATGCATGCACTAAGTGGAACCAAACCATGTGGATGCACTGCCGTTGTTTTCCAGCATCCCCTGCTCCAAGTCAGCTCAGACCAACCCACAATGGTCCTGGACTTGCAGACTGCTTCTGCATAGCCAGTGCCCCATGCAGATATCGTGTGGTACAGGAAAGAATTACTGACCTGGCAGCATAATAATTCTAGAATTCCTGAAGGAAGTGGATTGTTTGGATCCATTCCGCTCTGGTTTCCCCACTGTTCTGCAGTGGTTTTAGTTCCACTTCGAGGGAAGTTTCAGATTGTGGTGCAAGGGGGCCCTTGGCCTACGGGGTTCTCCGAGGTTCTATCTGTTCCCCGTGCTCTTTAGCATCTATATGAAGCTGCTGGGAGAGGTCATCCAGAGATCTGGGCTGAGTTGCTACCAATAGGCGGATGACACTCACCTCTGTCTCGTGCTTCCAGCAGATTGCAGGGAGGCAATGGAAAACCATGAGCAGGTGCCTGGAGGCAACTTTGGGGTGGATGAGGGCCAGGAGGCTGAGACGTGATCCTGACAAAACAGATGTTCTACCGGTGGGGTGAAGGTTTGACCCAGGAATTGGGTTATCTTCTATTCTGGATGGGATTGCACTTGACCAAAAAGAACAGATTCGTAGCTTGGGGGTGCTGCTGGGCCTGGGCCTCCTGTCGGTAGAGCCTCTGCTTGGCATGCAGAAGGTCCCAGGTTCAATCCCAGGCATCTCCAGTTAAAGGGATCAGGCAGTAGGTGATGTGAAAGACCTCTGCCTGAGACCCTGGAGATCTGCTGCCAGTCAGAGTAGACAATACTGACCTTGATGGACCCAGGGTCTGATCCAGTATCAGGCAGCTTCATGTGTAGATGCGTGTATGTGAAGTTAAGGGCTCAGGCGTGCCACTGTGATTGCCACTTCCGCGTATTCTCTCCAGCTCCCCTGGCCACTCCCCCGGTTTCTGGCTGTCAGTAACAGGCCGATGAGCCAACAGCATGATATTAATCACTGCAGAATTTAATGGCATTTGACACAACTCCACAGAGGAGCAGCAAACTGCTTTTCCCAAGAAACTCTTGTTGAAATTGCCTTTCATAGCAAGGCCATTCCGAGCTTCTCCATCTGACTAAGTGGGTGATTAATAGGTTATCTCCTTTCCCTTTTTCACTCTCCCAAATTATCAGGCCGTAATAGCTTTACAAATGACTGAGTTGTAGATTCACAGATTTTTAAGGTCAGAAGGCAGTTTCGGGAGTATTGCAGCCGGGCGTCCTTCTGTAACATCAGGCTTTATTGAATCTTCCCTGGCTGCTGTTAGTTCAAGTGCACTCCTGGCTCACGAGACCTGCAGCTGCCCTGCCAGTGTTCCCTCTAAGCTGAGTTAGTGTGAGCTAGCTCACAGTTTTTAGCCCTCCGGCTCACACATTTTTTGTCTTGGCTCAGGCAGGAGGGCTCCAGAGCAAGCTAATTGATGCAGTAGCCAAATCACTCACTCACGACTTTAATGCCGGTAGCTCACAAAGTAGAATTTTTTGCTCACAAGACTCCACAGCTTAGAGGGAGCACTGCTACCCTCCCCAACGACTGGGTGCAGTCAGATTGGTGGTGGGATGGAAGTTGACCTGGCTTGGGATTGCTCATGCCTCCCCCCCCCACTGTCATGTGTGATCTGATGCCTGACATGCTTGCCTCTTTTCCATGTATGCGCTGGGCCTATGCCATACGTTAGTTATTGCAGGCAAAGGATAGTCATGTTCAGATGTGTGTGTACAGATCTCAGCATGTTCATGTTCTGTGTGCATGGATGCAGATTCCTACACTTTGATTCTAGCCCTAAGTGAACATAAGAACCTAAGAGGAGCCAATGTTGGATCAAGCCAATGGCCCTTCCAGTCCAACACTCTGAGTCACACAGTGGCCAAAAACACCAGGTGCCATCAGGAGGTCCACCAGCAGGGCCAGGACACTAGAAGCCCTCCCACTGTTGCCCCCCCCCAAGCACCAAGAATACAGAGCATCACTTGCCCCAACCTGTGAGTTCCTATCTATACCTTGTGGCTAAGAGCCACTGATGGACCTCTGCTCCATAGGTTTATCCAATTCCCTCTTGAAGCCATCCATGCTTGTAGCCGCCGCCACCACCTGTGGCAGTGGAAGCCGGTAGCATAAGGCTGCATGACGCTGTGACTGCACATAAATGGCTCCGCAAAAAGAAGCAGAGGAAAAGCCAGTTCAGAGTCTTCATTCGAGCTCAGCAATCGGTCTTCGCATGCCTACGTGCCGCAGGTGCATAAGGATTGCAATTTAGGATTACATGCCAAGATTGCGCATGGAAAAAGAAATAGACAAAGGGACCCTGATTTATTGGGGTGATCTTTTCCCCCCTTCTTACTTTAATTTTACATTCCTGCCCAGCTATATTCCTGTGTGCTTTAGGAAAGCCACAATAGATTATATAAAGAAGCAGTCTGGTCCTGCCAAACATTAAAAATCTCCCTCCTCTCTTGGCTGATTCCCAGTCTCAGGGCATGGCTCGTGGTCCTCTCGCTTTCTTAATATGCACTGCGAACCGCAATTTTTCTTCTTTTATCCACCAAGATTAGCCAAGAACAGTCGCCTTTTTAAGCACTTGTATTTGTGTTCCACACTGCGGCTTTGCAATTTCAATTTAGGAGCACTGGAAAAAAAGCCTAGCGAGTGCAGAATTGCTTAAGCTTTTTGTTTACGCTTGACTTTCTTTCTTCTTCACGCTTTTTGTCATGCCCTTCCTCCAAGCAGCGACATGATGTCCTCCTGCCCGCTGTGTACCCACAACAATCCTGTGAAGTAGGCTGGCTTGAGAGAGAATGATTGGCACAAGGTCACCCAGCAAGTATTGTGTCAGAAAGAGGATTTAAGCCCGGATCTTAAAGCTCTTAGTCCAGCACTCTAACCTTTCACCCTATGGGCACCAGGAACCTGTAGGTGAAAGCAGGGGAGAGTTTTCACATGCTTGTGGTTTAAAAACCTGAATCTCTTCTTCTTGAAAGGAAGTGCACTCCTGGAACACAGTACTGGTTAAAACAGATTAGGCAGATCAGCAGCTATTAAACGTATCTGGTTTTGTATTACATGAAGAAGAATTCTGGTACTGCCAGACATATTTTTTGAATTACATTATTTTTAGGCAACCTTTCTTACTGATACTCAAGGTGGATTACACAGTTTAAATCAGTGCAATCAATAGGATGACGCATCTAATAAGCAATGTATCAGGACTAAGAATTGCAGCACTCTGAAACACGGGCGTAATCTCAACAATTCATAAGTGTTAAATACAGCATGTCAAATAATGCAGGGTGTGGTGTTACATTGGTAGAAAGGCTGTGCCAGTCTGCTGTGATGTAGCCCTATTTCTTTTATAAAAATGCCTGCCTGAGCAA